CGACGACGCCGCCGCCCGACGACGACGACGACGACGACGACGACGACGACGACGACGACGACGACGACGACGACGACGACGACGACGACGACGACGACGACGACGACGACGACTACTACTACTACTACTACTACGACTACTACTGCTACGACTACTAATACTACTACTACTACTTCTACGATTGCGAAACGCCGGTCCCGCAGACTGGGTCAGGACGCTGGGGGTCCAGGTCGTTCCAAGATCATGGCCTCGGGAGCCTGGGCACGGTGAGGGCGCGAGATATAGGGAACCACTGGATAAGGAACCCAGGGTCTGGAAGCCGGTAGAAGACCGATAGAAGCTCGACCATGGCTATCGCCGCTGCCCTCGCCAGGTGGCGGATTGCGGAAACCCTGGACCCAACAACGTGTTCATCTCTCGGGGGCGCAGCTGTGACCGCCGCCGCCGTCCGCCACCCTTCCGCCGCGGAAGAGATGGCAACTCCTTCGACCCTCGAAGGCGAAGCCCTTTTCGGAACGCTCCAGATCAAGAACCGTCCAGAGTCTGAAGCCTCCTGGGCACATTCCTAGCAACGAGCGCCCCACCGCGAGCTTTCGGGCCTCCGCGCGGACCTCTTGGCCGGCGCTGGGCCCCCGGGCGCGCCGACCGTGACATCCGCGCGGGTGTCCGAAATGTATGCTGGCGGCGCGCACCAGGGGGCATGGTGAGGGGGGAAGACGAGAATGCTTCTTAGGAGGCGCGGGCCTTGGTACTTCTAAAGGTGAGGCCCTCGCCTTCTCAGAAGCAGGGGTGCTTCTGAGAAGCCTTCTCCCCTCCCCCATACCCCCCTTCTGCGCGTGGCCGAGTATGCTCATCCCGCTTTCTGCTCTTCGAATGTAGGTGCACCTGAGCAACGATGAAAGGCGGGTCTGACGCGAGATGGCTCAGCGACCTTGCGCCGCGGCTTAATCGCGGGCCACCGCCGCGGCACGCCACAGTGAGACGAGGGCGCCTGCGCGCGACCTTACGCGGGCAACTTACGCGCCAATGTCGGTGCAGACAGCCCCGATCCCAGACCCCCGACGTCATGAATGCTTCATGACATGTCGGGAGCGGCCAAGAGGGGGGTGTCCAAGAGAGGGGGGTGCAAATCATGACCGGCGGCATGTGCGCGGCCCAGCGGGGGGGCCAGGAACGTAATGAAATAAGAAGAGGCGCCATGAAATCTGGGGAAATATCATGGCCCACGCCATGATATCCACCCCCCCCTAGTCATCACCCCCCTCTTTTCCGCCCCCGAACATGGACCCCCAGGCTGTCTGCATGGACCCCTTCCCCGGGACCGGCTTCGCATCCGGAGTCGTTTCCTGACGGTCCCGAAAGCCAGCGAGGGCCCCGCAAGGCGGAAAATGGCGAAAAACTTCTGGTCGTGATTGTTTCATGAGCCGAGGGGGTCTGGGGTTGCTTCCGTCGCTCGCCTGAAGCCCACCTCCTTCTTGCTGGCGCGACACCAAATCGGGCACTGCTGCGCGTCCTCACCAGGACGCGAAGACGGGCTCTGGATCTCGAGCCCCCCCACCAGGACCAGCTCTTCGACCCTTCATCCCGATCAGACGAAGCCAGGATCAAGTCGGGCGCGTCCCTCTACGAGAGGCAAATTCACGAATAGTCCAATTACCCTGGCGACGTACCCAACCCTCATGCCATGCGTGGCATAAGTACAGTAGGATTGCTCCAACGGGGGCGATGACGTAACATGGACGCATGTGATTTTGCAAGCAGCAATCGGAAGGCTCGCAGGCCCCCATCAATATATAAGGGTTACGTAATAACAAATCATACCCGTTGGCTGTGCGATGCGCACGTTGCACCTAACGTATCCCACTGCAGCTCTTGAGAGCCCCCGCGGGATACGTGTAGGCGCAACGTTATGGCCATCGCCCAGCAGATGGCATGTTTCAAAAATCACCCCCAATTGGCTGTGCCATGCGCCTGTTGCGCCTAACGGATCCAACAGCAGCTCTCCAGAGCCCCCCCTGGACGGCGAGGTCTCGCGCATGTCCCCGCGGTGCCTCACTCCGCTGGACCCACTAGCAGCCCTCGAAAGTGGCGACAGTGTCGCAGATCGCAGCCCCCCCCCAACGACGGCGAGGTCTCGCTCAGGTCCCCGCGGTGCCTCACTCCGCTGGACCCACTAGCAGCCCTCGAAAGTGGCGACAGTGTCGCAGATCGCAGCCCCCCAAACGATGGCGAGGTCTCGCTCAGGTCCCCGCGGTGCCTCACTCCGCTGGACCCACCAGCAGCCCTCGAAAGTGGCGACAGTGTCGCAGATCGCAGCCCCCCCAGGTACGGCGAGGCCTCGCTCAGGTCCCAGCTGTGCTTCACTCCGCTGGACCCAACAGCAGCCGCCGAAAGTGGCGACAGTGTCGCAGATCGCAGCCCTCCCAACGACGGCGAGGTCTCGCTCAGGTCCCCGCGGTGCCTCACTCCGCTGGACCCACTAGCAGCCCTCGAAAATGGCGACAGTGTCGCAGATCGCAGCCCCCCAGAGACGGCGAGGTCTCGCTCGGGTCTCCGCGGTGCCTCACTCCGCTGGACCCACCAGCAGCCCTCGAAAGTGGCGACAGTGTCGCAGATCGCAGCCCCCCAAACGACGGCGAGGTCTCGCGCAGGTCCCCGCGGTGCCTCACTCCGCTGGACCCACCAGCAGCCCTCGAAAGTGGCGACAGTGTCGCAGATCGCAGCCCCCCCCAGGGACGGCGAGGTCTCGCTCAGGTCCCAGCGGCGCCTCACTCCGCAGGACCCACCAGCAGCCCTCGAAAGTGGCGACAGTGTCACAGATCGCAGCCCCTTGGCAAGATGCACACACAAGAGGTACCGCAGCCAAGATGCACACGCACACATACCACACACACACACGAGGTACGCACAAAAGAAGAGGAGGAAAGAGGAAAGCGAGAGGCGAGAGGCGGGAGGAGGAGGACTGGAGACCGCAATGCTTTATTCAAAGCGAATACCCAACCAAGGAGGCTTGGGAAAAACAGTTTGATAAGTATGTTTTGTTTATTGTTTGGTTTTTGCTATTATTTTGACTATCCTTTATTCTTCGTCCAAAATCCGCCTGTAGGAGGACACGCCCGACCTAAAACCAGGACGAGGATAAATTCGGGTGAGGATAACCAATCGGCTGGCAATCTCTGAGATCTGGGGCTCTGGAGGATGCCTCGGGCACCGCGGCCCTCAGAGCGTGGCGGAACGCTCTATAAGAGCGTTCCGGAACGCCCTGGAACGGATTGATCCTCGTCCCAGCCCCGTCCGACCTGAGTCGTCTCCGAACAGTCCGAGTCTATCGAAGGCCCTGGGAAACCGAAGACTGAGAAACAACTCGGGACCCTCATCCCCCGGTAGAGAAGCATAAAACCGGCATAAGCATTAGGTCGGCCGTGTCCTCCTACAGGCGGATTTTGAATCAAAGATCAGACATAGCCCAAACATTAATGCACCACAGACACAGATAAATGCTCCACAAATCATCCCCAAACTATGTGTTATTACTATTCTTGCACATTCCGCCTGTAGAGTGACACGCCCGACGTAAAATTCGCCGGCCCAACGGGCCAGAGGCGTGCTAAGATCTCCGGTAACTACTTAACACTATTTCTAGTTCGCGCGCGCGGGGCGGCCCCTGGGGCCCCCCAGACGAAAAGTACCCCGGCAATTCCCCGGCCGATCCCCGGCCGGGTCCCGGGCGAGGGGGGAGGCTATTTTTCGCTACCCCTCACGAGGATCGTGGCCTCCGAAGGGGTGGCTGCAATCGACTACCCCCCTTCCCGCCCCCAGGGGCCCCCAAGAGCCCCCTAAGAGGCCCCAGGGGAGCCCAAGACGCCGCCAAGGAGCCCCAAGACGCTCCCAAGAAGCCCCCAAGAGGCCCCCAAGACGGCCCCCAAGAGGCCCCAAATAGCGCTCCAGGGCCGGCGGAATGAGCGAAGCGACAAAATAAGCATCATTCCTCACAGGCCCCGCGCGGACTTCTCGGATGACTCCCCCCCCCCCGGGCGCGCGGAGCCCGGCGCCGCCGAGGTCTGGCCCAGCGCCGCTCCAAGAAGTCCGCCAGGCACTTCGAGAACTCACGTCTGTGCAATTTTGCTGCTCGCCCACTGTTAGAGGGCCCAGGGTTCGCTGGGAGCCGGCTGCCCTGGAGGCGACCCGAACCCGCTCGAAACCCTCTGGAACTCTCCGAAGAGCCTCCCGGAAGCCTCCGGGGAGGCTCTTCGGATGGCCTCGGGCAGGTTTCGGCCGTTGTGGGGGAAACCAATCCCTGGCGAACCCCGGATTTCCTTAGAAGAAGAAGAAGAAAAACGTTATAAGCATAAACTGTTGGCGCTCCGCGCGGATTCCTTTGATCTGCGCTGGACCCCCCTCCCTGGCGCGCGGAGCGCGCCAAGGGCGGCACTGCAGCGCCCCCCAGGCGGCGCCTCCATGGAGGCGCCGCCTGGGGAGCCCAGCGCGGATCGAAGAAATCTGCGCAGAGCGCCACAAGTTTATGTTTATGGTGTTTGTTTCTTCTTCGATGCACTGAGCCCTCCCGGGGCCCTCCACTGGCCCCAGGGATTGTCCGAAGGCGCCTCAGGAGAGCCTCCCATACCGTCGTGTCGGCTCTTGCGAATCGACGCTCGTCAACGCTAATCGCACCAATCGACGCTAAACCTGCGATATCTCATCGATTATCAGACGCTAGTCGGCCCAAACGCACTCTAAGTGTGGAATTGAAGCGGTGTGCGAGAATCCCCTGATCTGCGACCGAATCTTCATACCGTTTTGTGCTCTTCAGCTCAAGACCCGCTTGCTTCATGGCGAGTCCTCGGTGCCCTCGACGGCGGCGCTGGCGCTGGACGCGTCCGACCGCTGCGCCAGCACCTCCACGACGGCGCCCGCCTCCGCGCCGCCGTCGCCGAACAGCCCCTGCTCGGCGCCCTCATGTGAGAAAGACAAGTGTCGTTTGGGAGGAAGGGGATGGGAGAATGCAGGGCACGTATGAGCAATGGCGTTCGGACGTGACGAACGATACCTTCGGCCCTGCGTCGAGCGAAGGGGAATCGCGGCGTCTTCGCAGCGCATGGGCCGCCAGTCCATCACCGCGCAAGCTTCCTCAGCGGATTGCAACCTGCAGCCTACTTCGTGGCCCTCTCAGGGCCATACTGAACCCCTGGGAACTTCCCAAAAAGCAGATTGCACCCTGCAGCCTACTTCGTGCCTCTCTCGGGGCCCTCTTGGACCCCTGCTGAGGCCTTCGGTGGGGCCGTCCAAGAAGTCCTCTTGTGTGTGTCCTAGACACTCTCGGACCCATCTTGGACCATGTGTTGAAGCGACGCGGCGAACACTGGGGATGAACAAAGGCATGAACAAAACCAGAGCGAGCGAGAAGAGGAAGTGAGCATGGGCCGGCCTTCTCAGAAGGCTCAGAAGTCCCTGAGCCTTCCGAGAAGTTTCCCGAGCCTTCCCCGAAGACAAAGAAAACTTCTCAGAAGGCGCGAGCGCTTCTGTGAAGTCCCGCCGCCTTCTGAGAAGGCCTTCTCCTTCTCACTTGCCCCCCTCGCCCGCCGGCGAACTCCTGCATTGGTCGTCTTCCGTTCTTCATGGGTTGCGCCACGACTCTTGCACGAATCGTCGGCACCGGCCGTACAGCATCGCTGCCCACCTGATCCCATATAGGTAGGCCAATGCCCAGAGAGTGATGTGCAGAGCAACTGCCGACGATGAGGAGAGACGCGTGAGTGTGCTGAGGGGGAACGTCGTCTCCAGCGAGATGAAAGCGAAGAACCCAAGTAAGTTCAAGTAGGAGCACCAGCACAATCGGCAGGCAATTCAAGCTGCAAGGGGGTTTGGGAGGATGCGACGGCCAACGGCAGCGTGCATGTCTGTGTGATAAGCACCTTCAAGAATATAGCGAAAAACTCGCTGTCGTGATTTTTCCATGACCCGATGGGGTCTGGGATCGCCGCGGCGGCGACGACGACGACGACGACGACGACGACGACGACGACGAGGAGGCGCGTGGCGCCTGCGGCGAGGCGCCGCGCGCCTCGGCCTCGGAACCCACGTGCAGGGGCCGGGCGAGGAGCGGCGCCAGCAGCAGCGCGAGGGCGCCAGGGCTCGAGCGACCCAGGCCCCCTCGTGACCACGTCTCGTTCTCCACATTCTCCTCCTCCTCCTCCTCCTCCTCCTCCTCCTCCTCCTCGGGCATCTCCTCTCCTCCTCTTCCCCCTCCTCCTCCTCCTCCTCCTCCTCCTCCTCCTCCTCCTCGAACATTTCTTCTCCTCCTCTTCCTCTTCCTCCTCCTCCTCCTCCTCCTCCCTCCTCCTCCATTTTCCTCCTCCTCCTCTCGTCCCTCCTCCCCCTCCTTGTCGTCGTCCTCGTCGTCGTCCTCGTCGTCGTCCTCCTCCTCCTCCTCCTCCTCCTCCCTTCCATCTACCTCCCTTCCCTCCCCTTCCTCCGTTCCTCTTCCTTTTCCTCCTCCGCCAGCTCGTCATTCTGCTCCTCCTCTTCCTGCTCCTCCGCTCCTCCTCCTCCTCCTCCTCCTCCTCCTCCTCCTCCTCCTCCTCCTCCTCACCGGCCCTCGAAACCGTCAAAAAACGACTCTGGATGAATAGCTATCCCGGCGAAGGACCCAACCAGATGCAATTGTGAAGACCGCAAGTGTGAATCTCTTCTCCGGTGGCCTATGAGGGCGGTAGCGCCAGGGCCGTAGGCGGAGCTCATTATAGGGCACCGAACGCTGTACTGGGTGTGGGGACGCACGCGGGCACCCCCATTGGGACCTTCGGTGGAGCTCCCCATGGGGCATCGAAGCGCTGCACAGGGCGGGGAGCCTTCGGTGGAGTTCCCTATGGCGCCACGAAGCGCTGTGCTCAGCGTGGGGGGCGCATGCGGGCCCCCCCACTGGGGCCGTCGGTGGAGCTCCCTGCGGGGCCACGAGGCGCTGCACCGGGCGTGGCGGACGCCTGTCTGGATGGGGGACGCATGTGGGCACCCTGGGGCCTTCGGTGGAGCCCCCTCTGGGGCCACGAAGCGCTGTACTGGGTGGGGGGGGCGCGCGCGGGCCCTCCCGCTGGGGCCTGCGGTGGAGCTCTCTATGGAGCCACGAATCGTTGTGCTGGGCGCGGGGGGTGCACGCGGGCACCCCCGCTGAGGACTTCGGTGGAGCCCCGTCATGGGGCCACGAAGCGTGTGGGCGCGCTGAAACGCGCGATGGCGATCTTGATTTTCTCTCTCCGCTCGGCACCTTCAACGAGGACAGCGTCGACACTGCGAACTCGAGTTGGCGCTTCACACCATCGCGCATGCGGCCAGCCTTGCCCATGGCAGCACGAAGCTTCCTGCGGAATTCTCGGTCCCCGCGAACAACAGCCAGGTCAGAGGGAAGGGCCTCCATGTTATCGTCTAGCGTGGGCAGTTGTGGCCTCGATGCAACACTTTGGCGGAACATGAAATACTGGCTTCAACGGGATTCGAGATCGCCAGAATTAATGAATCATGACTGAGATGCTCACGTATAAAGCGCGAGCTCCCCTCTACAGACAGCCGGGGAAAACCTGAGGCAACAGGGCGACTATCAGGAGGCTCGCAAGCAGGAAGGGCCAGCCCATAAGGCAGCTCGTGACTATCAGGAAGCGCACCACCATCGAAGCGCATTTCACGATGATGAGGAAACCAACGCACAGCATGAGGCTCACAAGCCCTCTGGAAGCTCACGGCCATCAGGGAGCTAACGATCAGCAGGAAGCTCGTGACCATCGCGAACCCCGCGATCAGCGCCAGCTGGACGCGCATCGCGCCCAGGAGGAAGCGCACCACCATCCTCGCAAAGCTCACGACCACCAGGAAGTTCACGAAAGTCCGGAGGCCCATGATCAGCATGAAGCCCACGTCCATCAGGAGGCACACAATCATCAGGGAAGACGAGCCCGCCAGGAAACTCCCGATCATTACCAGCAGGACGCGCATGCCCATCATGAAGCCCACGGCCCTCACAAAAGCGAAGCATAAGACAGCCGGGAAGATCACGACCACCAGGAAGATCACGGCCGTCAACGACCTAACGACCATCAAGTAGCACGCGACCTCCCGGAAGGGCGCGGCCATCATAAGGCTCACGACCAGCAGGAAGCCCAAGGCCATCTTGAACAGTCCGACCAGCACCAGCAGGGAGCACGCGCTCGCCAGGGAGCCAACGACCATCAAGAGGCGCAAGATCATAGTCGCACGGCTCACGACCGCCAGGAAGCTCACGGACATCATAAAGCTCACGGCCATCAGGAGGCACACGACCATCTGGAAACCCCTGGGGCTCACGACCCTCAGGAAGCTCACGGCCCTCAGGAGGCCCACGCACATCAGGAAACACACACGCACGCACAAAACAAACAGGAAACTCGCGACCACCAGGGGGCTCGCGAAGCACATGGCCCACGCGAAGCTCCGAACCGCCTAGCCTCGGAAGAGCATCCAGGACGCGCCCCTAGGGTGCCTGCAGAGCAGGAGCACCCGCAGGCCAACTCCGCAGGCCGTCATGAACAGCAGGAGCATCACGTGCATCAGGAAGTCCCCGACGCTCATGAATGCCACGGTCATCGGGAAGCTCACGTCCATCAGGAAGAGCTCGGCAATCAGGAAGCCCAGGGCCTTCGGAATGCACGCGGCCGCTGGAAAGTTCATCTTTCGCATCACCTGAGAGCGCAGCAGCAGTGCAAAACAACTCAGGATGAGCGAGCGCTCCAAGAATTTGATGGCCAGCGCCACCAGCTGACATAAGACCGCCACCGCCACCAGTCCGAGGAACCGTGGGAAGCGGGGCGCCACCACCGTCACGACGAGGACACCGATCACGAGGGACACGAGCATTTTCGCCACCGCTGCCGTCATCATCACCAAGAACTTGTGGAGCGCCATCACCATCGTGATGTTCAGCAACAGGAATGCGAGAAGGCGCAGGCTTGAGAGAGAGGCTCACGCGGGACTCCCCGCTCGACTTCTGGCGCCCATGGTCCACAATGGTGGAGGACACAAGGTCGTGCGCAATGTGGGTGATCAGGTCTATGGCCAGCTTGTTCTGTATGCCCCAGGGGCGGGTTGACTACAGGCAGACATTCACATTCAACTTGCCGATGCGCGGACCGAAACTTGCCGACCAAGCCGAAACTGCTGCACAATCCAATCGAGACGCGCAGCGTGGACCATCGGCAGACTGCAGGATCAAGCGGGAAGCGGCGGCTGGCACGCGCCAGCAAGGGGCCACGGATCCAACGACGGCTAGACCAAAGAGGCTTGAAACGGGTGATGACGATGATGATGAAGATGACTTGTTCCATTCATCCATCGACACGGGGAAAACAAGACTTAGCTGTCCCTCAACACTTGGTGAGTGAAGTTATGGTGGGGTACACAAAAATTTTCCCGCCGCAGGGCATTATATCCCTTTCTCGCCTGGCTGGGGCGCACCATGCAGGGGGGTCAAGAGCGGCTGACCTGCTGCGGCATGCGGGATTCGCATCACCTGAGGCCCAGGGCCTGGGCTGCCTCTTCATCTGCTTCCAAGTCCATGGGTTGCGTACTGTCTGCCGTGGAAGACGGGCGATTGCTGGCAGAGAACCGAGGTCGAACACTGGCTGGCGCACTGCAGGCACGGCCATCTGGCCTAAGAGCAAAACTGAACTTTCGAGTTTGGAATGCGTTCGTGCCGTCTAAAATTGACGGCTCTAAAGAGGAGGCGGGCAGCTGCTCGCCTGCCGTGAAAAAGTACAGGAGCGTGGACCGTGCGTCGACTCTGAGGAATGACGCGCTGGTCTCGATGTCCGCTTTCATGAGCTGTCTGGAGGCTGGACGAGGGCGAGCCAGGCCTTGATCTTCTCCTTCATAGCTCCGCCGATGTCGCAGGTCACGAGGCCCTCCATCATGGCGACTGTGAGCCCTGCCGTCGGCGGTCCTAGCTCGGCCAGGCTGTCCTTGGCTTTGTCCTTGCGGAACTGCTCGATCTGGTTCTTGTAGAGCTCGAGCTCGTCGCCCAGCGCCTGGACGACGGTGTGCTTGATCGGCAGGGTGGTCGTGTCCATGGCGCTGGCCGCCAAGCAACGTATCTTCCGGGTGTTCTGGAGGAGGAGCTTCGCCATCGTGAGGATGAGAGCGTGGAGGTTCCGATCTTTGCTGCTCCATGTCTTGTCCGTGTACGTGCCTCTGCGGCGACGTCCTCCTCTGCGCCTGCGAGCGGGTCCGCCCTCGCCCGCCTCGTCCCCGTCCGCCGACTCCTTCGGGCGCGCTCGAGCCTCGCCTCCGAGAGCCGTCTGCTTCGCTAGCGGGCGCTGGTCCTCGGAGCCCCTGCTTCCGCTGCCACCATTCCCAGACGCTGCCAAGGAACGCGGCAGGCGCCACCCTGCCCGGGGTAGCGCGCTCGCCATCTTCTCGGGCGTCACCAGCTGCGGTCCGTGTCGTACGCGACGAGCGTGGGATCGGTGCCGAGGTGGTAGGCGTAGCAGTACTCGGGCGTGTAGCCGAGATGATGATGACAATGACGAGGACGAGGACGAGGACGAGGACGATGATGATGATGCTGCTGCTGCTGATGATGATGATGCTGATGATGATGATGATGATGATGATGATGATGATGATGATGATGATGATGATGATGATGATGATGATGATGATGATGATGATGATGATGATGATGATGATGATTATGATGAAAGGAGGAGGGAGGGGCAGCAGGAGGATGAAAGGGACGCGGGGCGCTGTCTCTTCAAAAGAAGACCCAACACCACAGGATGGTGGTGAAAAACGACCCCGGGAAACGGGTCGAGACCGCTTGGGGTCGACGTTATGTGAACAATCCAGACGTCGGAGATCTGGGTATACAGTGCGTGTTCGGTTTCGCTTTTTTTTAGATGTTCTTAGTTCTGTCTTCGTTCTGCCTTTGCTGCGGAACGAATCAAAACGAAAACGGTCCACGAAATCGCCAAGACACTGTTTCGCTCGAGCCCTGGACGACGCCGCGGAAGAGTGCCATTGGGAATTGGGGCTGGCCGGGGGGCTGAGGTGGCACTGGTGCCAGACCCCCCTCGAGTCATGAGAACAAAGCGCGACGGGAGACTCTTCCAAGTTTTCGGCCTCTGGGGGCCCCAGCCGGTCCTCGGGGCCGTCCGAAAACGACTCGGGATGAACAACCGGCCCAGGGGAATGGGTCCAGACTTGAGCCTGTTTTTTTTAGACTCTGGCAAGTTTACATGCATAGACGGGGGGGGGGGGCTGAGCCTGAAGCAAGCCGCAAACGACTTGCACGTTCGGGGGGGAGCGCGGAAATCACGCAAGTCGAAAGGCACTTGCACGCTAGTGTTCGCTTGAAGAGGGGTGAGGGGGGGGGGGGGGGCGAACGCCATGCAAGTAAACTTGCCCGAATCCACAGAAAGAAAACAGGCTCCGACGCCACGACAAATCTCTGACGTCGGGGGTCTGGGAAATAGGCCACGGTCCCGAGACTCCGGGAGGGGCCGGTCCGGGGAGTTTTTGGGGGGGCGGATTGTTGCCTTCGCCCCCGACCTGGGCCGAGGTTCTCGGGCCCGTGCAGCTCATGACGCCCTGGCCCCAGACCCCCGGCGTCATGAATGTTTCGTGGCGTCGACCCCCAGCGGTCTGGACCCAGTCCCCGGGGCCGGTTCTTCGTCCCGAGTCGTTTTGTTGGCGGTGCCGCGGGCCCCGGTATAAGGGCCCCCCAAGAGGCCAAAAATAAAGAAAAACACCTCCCATCGTGATTTTTGTCATAACTCGAGGGGGTCTGGGAGCGGATCTGCCCACGCCCCTCCTCTGGGCCGATTTCTCTCTCTCTCTCTCTCTCTCTCTCTCGGGGCCCGCCGGCGCAGCCCTGCGCGGCCGCCTCCGAAACGGGAGTGCTCTAGTAGTGGTAGGTGTGCAGCGAGTCGGGGGGCAGCCCGGGGCGCCCGAGCCAAACTGGCTGAGGAGACGGTGGGATGGCTCGCTTCACTAAAGGGGCCCCAGAACACACAAATAAAAAACTACAAATCAAAATATTCTCCATATTTTTCCATATTTTCTGGGTGTTTGTCTTCCCCCCCACTTCCCATATTTTCCCATATTTTCTGGGAAATCGAAGATTAATTGTGTCTGTGTGTTTCCTCCTGATTCACGTCTGTTGCTCCCATCGTACTGCTTCTCTACGGGAGCGACCAATGCGGATTCCTCGGATCGGCGCTGGGGCCCCCTGGCGGAGCCTCCAGCGCCGCCCCTGGCGCGCTCCACGCGCCATGGAGGGGGGGTCCAGCGCCGATCCGAGAAATCAGCGCGGACCTCCGAGTTTTTATGTCTATGCCATGCTTCGTTCCCCTACGCACCTCCCAGAAACACCTCCGAGCACCCAGAAACGTATCGAAAGAGAGCGTCTGCCCGACACGCTGGCGAAGCGTCGGACGAGCGTCGCCTCCCGGGGCCCGCCACGCGAGCAAGGCTGGAGTAGGCTGGAGCAGCACGACGCTTGCTGAACGAGGGGGCCCCGCCAACCTGCGGAGCCCGCCCGTGCCCTGCCGCGGACGACAGCCGACTTCCACGCGCGGGGCGTGCGAGGGTCCAGGGTGACTCTTGGGGGGACCCCGGAGCCCTTCGGGCCGGGCAAGGGGGGGGGGGGGATATAGCAAAGGGGGGGGGGGGAGAATCGGCGCGCGTGGCTGATTTTCCCGGCGCCTCCCGGCGCCGGGAGGCGCCCATGTGTCGAGGAATGGGCCTGGCGGCGGGGCCGAAACCAGCTGCACGCAGCAGATTTCGTAACCCCCCTTGTCCCTATCCCCCCCCTTTCGTTCGGCCCGAGCCCTCTCCGTGGCTCGCGAGCGGCGAACGCAAATCCGCATTCGCGCCCTCGCAGCCTGGATTCCGGGGCGCGGCCCCGCGGACACGCGGTCGCACGGCTGCGCTCCGCGCGGGGGATATCCGCGGAGAAGGCTGCGTGCCCGCAGGGTCGCGGCCCACGGGGGCCCGGCCCGCGAGGCCGCAGATGCGGGAATGTGTTCTACCCACGAGAGCGGGCTCTGAGCAGGGACCGGCCGTCCCGGCATTCCTATAGTACTGCCACGAAATGCTCGCAGAACCCAAAGATGCTCCAAGAGCAAATGTTCTTAGAACATAAGCACGATGTGATAAAGCAAGACAGGACTCCGCCAGAAATGTTCTCAGAACATGTCGTGAAAACCACAACCGGTACGTAGAACATTGTTTGGTAGGGCTGTAGGCGAGCCAGGACGCTTCGACACTGCTTGACGAGAGTGGGCTCCGCCCCAATACCCGCGTGGCTTCTGGGGCGCGCGGTTCCCGAGGCTGCCGACCCGTCCCTGGTGCGGGTCCCCCGTCGCGGGCCCGGGGCCAAAAACGAAATCTAGGGGGTCGAAATCATGCTCGGCATCCGTGATATGTGTACATCGACATGCACGTATATAAACATACGTGTAGATACACATCGAGATGCAGAAAGAGCAATGAGCACTGCACACATACAGAATCGTAAACTCGCCATTCGGGGGGCCAGATTCGGGCGTTGGCAGAGCTGGGTTTAGTGGAACCTGGCTTAGTGATGTGTGCTTGGGGAGGCCCCCCCGCCCCGTTCCACTAACCAGAACTGCCGCCACCCGAAAAACACCAGCTACGGCAAACCTGGCTTAGTGATTCTGGCCAATTCAAAGGCCCCGGGGCCCTACCGCTAACCGGGTCCCCTTGCCTGGGGTCCATGGCTATACCCGACATATGGCCACCGACGCGAGCCGAGGGAAGCTCCAGCCGGCGACGTCTGCCCAGCCGGAGCACAGGATCCGTCTGACCTTGCGTGCGCACCCCGTCTCGCTCACCAAGAGGGTCGGCAGCCGAACAAAAACAGTCATAGCCCGTGGCCGCGGCCTTGC